TTTGTTCCGTAGAATTGTTCTTGATGCAGTTTATTGTCTACCGTGCGCACTAACTTCAAGCTCAACCTCTCTATTTTTAGCCTTAGAATATTAAGAGTGCTTTAAGAATCATATTTCCGACACCTCAATGCCTTTGTCTTGTCATCCATTGCACCATATAATATTACTTTTATTTGCCTATTTTTAATTTTCTCCTAATAAATTACGTGCAAAGCATGCAATGTAATGTATTGAGTTTTGGTTCTATAGTATTGGCATCTGTATGAAACCCATAAATGGACCGATGAAGGTGTCACAAGAGCCATTCTCTGCCAGGAGTTAAAACGGCTTCAGCCATGCAGATGAAACTTTTGTTGATCAGCTGTTTCCTTCTTGGAGCTGGTAGAGCCTCTTACCTAGCGGAAAAGCGGGAAGGTATTGGATCAAAATTACGAGAGCATGATTATTTTAGTCAGACCATTCTTTTTTCCACTAGTCCAATGGTGTTACTTTTATTAAGTACTCTTTTTTTCCTTACCTAGATGCTCCTCTGAGTGAGGATACAGGTCACTTTAAGAGGCTACTTAGTTACTTTTTGAAGCCTGATTAAAAAAAAGTTTTCCCAGAAAAGAAAAGAATACTCATAGGAATTATCTTCAATACAGTTCTCACGAATGTGGATAAGAAAGCAACTCTCCTTGGAAGTGTCGAGACTCTCTCCATTTAATTACCGGTCTGGTTGTTTTCAAATGAAAATCAGCGTACTCTACTTTGATTTTCACCTTTAATCAGTTTTTTTTGCCTTCTTTTCCACCCCAAAATAGCACAAGAAGTTGAAGATCTGAATGACGAAGACTTCGAGACTGCGTCTGATAAATTTGACGAGGAGAATGATGAGGAGCTGGAAAATGAAGATGAAGCATTTGACGAATTAGGAGATGAAGAAAACGAGAGGGATGCTAAGGAATTAGAAGAAATGAACGATGAAGACGAAGAGACAGGCAAGTGTTGATCCTGCTAACCGAGTTCTGTCTCCACTTCGGAGATGAGATCCAAGTTATAATGTCAATGACGAGAGTTTGGAATTTTTCTTCTCATTGGGAAGAAACTCGTGAAAGAACAGTTTAGGATAAAACAGGGGTGATTTTAATGATCATTTTCTGCATCGAGCAAGTTCTTTTAGCAGGTTTTGGTTGACAACAGTTGAAAGTTAGCATGAAATGTAGTATGGGAAGGAACAAAAGCTCAACTCTTGCCAGGTTTTTATTTTAATCGCACATAAGACTCAAAGAAAAGAATATTGCTCACTCCGCTGATTATACCAACAGGATCCATATAATGTCTGAATTTATCTTGTCATAGGGATTACCGGGTGATTTACTTCTTTGGAAAAAAAGATCAATTACGTGGGACATGGTGACACAATTATCAATGAAGTAAACTGTGATAAAAGCACTTTCTAACCAAATGTTATGATTTTTGTTCCATCAGGTGAAGATGAAGTTTCTGAGGATCCAAGACCGGTACCAAGAAAGTCAAAAAAGAAATATGGTAAAGTTATTCAACATATCTTGATCTTACATTTTGATTTATGATCCATGAAACGTTCTTGCTCCCACAAAAATGATATTCGGTCCGGTGGCCGAATATCCCCTGCTAAAACTGGGCATAGTCAAGGATATCACGCAATCCATAGTTTTTAATTCAAGAAGATATAGCAGAAAATGGGAATTATCTGTTTGTTCATCAAATCGTACTGGAGAACGCTCAAAAGAAAACATTCGGCGCGCGCTGCCAAATGTTTGAAGGATTATGGTTACAAAGCCTATATTTTACGCAAAAATTATACTCGTATGTTTGTCCTTGGACATTATCTGTTCCTCGAAGCTCGCAGGTTTCCTCGAGCTTCGCTCTCGGAAACTGTTCGCATCTTGGAACAGAGAATGTCCGAGGATAAACATTCCTGTATATTTTTACGCCAAGTAGAGGCTATTGTTTCCATCTTGCTAAGATATAACTAAAGCAACATCATTATATTATCAGACAATTATCTTATAAAATATGGAAAGAAATGTTAATTAATGGGCCCTTTGTCTGATTCTGAGATTTTTATGATCGATAATCCATAGTTTGATATAATGGTCTAAAGCATTTTTTTCGTAATTATTTTAAGGTTATTTGTATTGGAAAGGAAAAGGCTACCGCAAGTACCGAAAAAAACCTAAGAAAAGCTACCGTAAAGCCTACCGGAAATATCGTGTCCGAAAGGGTTACTACCCAAAAAAAGGAAAGGGTTACGGCTACCGCTACAGCTACCGCTACCCATACTACCCCTACGGTCGTTAGAATGGTGAGTCTTTCACAAATATCGATTAAGGATTGCTACAAGCTTGTAATCGCGTAGAAAATTGAGGGCATCTTTTAAACAAGAAATGCATGTACTCGTCCTTGTTGAGTTCTCTCTACTACTTGTGACATGCTATAGAGAAGTGCGCTTGTCCCAACTAGCCTCATTACTCACTTAAGTAACTTTATGAAGGACTCTTTCTCACTTTCTTTTTTCTATTTCAGGCTTGGCGAGAATGATTAGACTGGACCAAGAATCACACAAGATTAAGAAAGTTGCTTTAAAGTCATAGCTGAAATTGTAGCTTTAAAAGCGTTAAATAAACTTTTTTGGTTCAACTGACATCCTTGTTCTCTTTTTTATTTTATTTCATTCATTTATTTATCTGCTGCAAACCGCAAGCTACACAATCCACATCAAAGTTGACTAAATTCTGAAATAAATGATTTGAATATTTTCATCTGGTCCCAAACGTTTATCAGCACGCTTTATCACTACTTTCCTGTGGTATCAACCTTTAGAGGCAACATGAATGAAAGAAAATAATGCTAGGTTTCCAAAAACCACAAAAGTCATATATGACCAAATATTTTGATACTTGATCGGAAAATAAGATAAGAAATCTTCAGTCCATTCTTGTAGGTGATAAAATAGAAATGAAAATGAACTAGAGGCTTGAGTTAGTCGCGAGGCTGGGGAAACGTAAATAATTTGGAGTGATTTTTATCAGGGTTGAATTTAATCCCTCATTATAACTATTGTACAAGCTCTTAACTCCAAGGAATAAGGCAGGATAAAGCGGCGCCTGAAAATAAAGATCGTATTAATCATCCTTTTGTATATTCGATGAGTGCATCACTCATCGGTTTATGGTGCATCACTCATCGGTTTATGGTGCATCACTCATCGGTTTATGGAGCATCACTCAAAGGCTTATGGAGCACTACTCTGGCCCTCGTTTAACAATAAAATACCGTGGCAGTTTTTAAAAGTGCTTAAACGATGAGCAATAATGATAACAGGTGAATAAAGTGGGTGAATTTCTAAAGTGGTGCTGCGTCTGTGAGGAGTAGAACTAGATCATTTGGCCTTATCAGCTTTGTTGATAATGTAAACTGATAGCCGTAAAGAGTGTTAAATTTGGCGTTTGGGGCTCACGATTTAACGTGAACCCCAAAAATAAAAAATAAACATTGCTTACTTGTTACGCTGGAATTGCGTAACATTTTGCAAATTGTTGCGCTAGATCTGCGTAACGTTTCCTGTTTGTAGGTGTTTTTAGCAGTTTTCACCTCAATTTGAAAGTGATTTGTACTGTAAACGTCCAGAAAATTCATAGTTCAATTTTGTTCACCTTGTTAAATCCCTGATGAAGTCTGTGTGATCAGACGAAACCGGTTGGATAATAAACGAAGTTGACAAGATCTGCTGCTGTGTGCTGCTCACTAGTTTTTATTTTTAAAAACAAAATTAAAAGAAAAAAAAAATTAGCAGTGACTGGTAACTGGTGGTATGACATTGATTCTGATAACATCCCTAATTGTCCACGTTCCAATTATTATTTCCTAACTCAGCTGAATCAACTCTTAGATAATACCACTTCAAAGTGTCTATCTATGTTTCATTGTAATATCAGAAGTCTTCCAAAGCATTTGTCTCTATTGAACGAGTTTTTACATTCTGTCAACCGCAAGCCTGATATCTTAGCTTTTACCGAAACGAGACTATCAAACCGGACAGTAACAAATATTGATATCCTCAACTATGATTTCTTTTACACCAACCCATATTATTGTTGAAAGTCACAACATCCTCACCATTTAACTCCTTTTTTATTATTATTTTCGAGGAAAAGGCAAAGTAGGATATAGGAAGTGTGGAGTAAAATCATCTGGAAAAGCTCGTTGAAGTAATGATAACCATAATGATAATGACAACATATTATTGTTGAAAGTGACAACATCCTCACCATTTAACTCCTTTTTTATTATTTTCGAGGAAAAGGCAAAGTAGGATGTAGGAGGTGTCGAGGAAAATCATCTGGAAAAGCTCGTTGAAGTAATGATAACCATAATGATAATGACAACAATAATTATAACGACAATGATAATGAAAATAGCGATGATAATGACAAAACAATATTCAAATCAAATGGGAATTAATCCTAGTGATAGAAAATTGATACCATGACAAAATACCTTATTTTGCCAATATTTGCGTAAATATCCTTTATATTTCTACTAACCATGTTTACCACTGAAGTTCTCTGTGTCCGGAATCTTTCTCGAATAGTTAGGTCAATGAATCCCTCCACACCCTCCCTCTCAACAATGAAACCAAGCGATAGTTGGAGATTCGACTGTGATGATGAGGTAATACGGCCAATTTTAATGGGTGTGACAATCATGGCATGGATATAGGTATACACTTCAATTTATGATGACTAAATCTAACTCGGAAGTGGGACCAAGTTCCAAAAATCAATACAACGGCCCCAAATCTAAACAAACAAGTTATGCCTCGTGCGCGAAAGCATTTTAGGAAAGTACAAGAAAGACCTTAGGGCGTGGACTTGGTGACTAAAGGACTTAATTAAACGTTTTAATACGAGTGAGCTACAGGTCATATAAAAAAGTTCGCAAGTATCAAGCAAATCATAGAGGAACCAGGAGGTTCATTCTAAATTTTGTATCATTTCCTTTTTCTTGCACCAACAGATCAACGTGACCGACGGACAAGGGATCCAGTCGTTTTCTTTGATATCAGGAAAATGCTTGCGCATGACTTTATCAAACCAAACCTTGAATCCATCTTTGACCTCATCAGGGCTGCTTTGCAAAATACCTTTAGAAGCCAGGGTATTGTAACATTCATCGTAAGTAAGCTGCCAGTGTTTCCTCGTTGTCGAATCCTTTTGGACAGTGAACAGTTTTCCGACCACTTGAAATATCTTATTCATGGTTTCTTCTGAGGTTGTGTGCTCGAAACCATTTTCCAACGGGCGAAAAAATGTCAACAACTCTTTAACCCAAGGCACTGATTCATCAGGAAGGATCCAAATCATTCCCAGAGAACCACCAGGCACTAGAACTCTGCAAATATCTCTCACAGCCTCTTCGTTTGCGAACCAGTGAAAACAATGCGCTGCTACAATTGCATCAACACTCGAGTCTGGGAGAGCTATATCGACACAAGAGATATAATGGAATTTCAAAATGCGAAAAATTCAAGCACAAAATAGCATCTTGAAATACCATTCCAAAGTTATCCCGACGCTGGAGAATGAGAAAGGAAACTTAATTTTAGTGCCAGACTAACTCGTCGCGATCGGAGCTGCATTTTATTTAGTTTTCCCTTAAGCTTCTCTTTAAAACATGTTTTTATGACAGCGTTTCAATAAAAAAATAATGGATTTATCAATAATAATAATAATAATAATGATAATGAAATAGCCTCTTTACTCACGCCCAATTCATGGCCATTTGTCATTCATTAATTTCTCACTTTTCTATTTTCTTTCATTTTTTTTCCACTTTGCTAACTTTGTCGTAATATTATTAGAGATTACTTCTGATGCATTATTACAAGGCAATCAATTACAGATAGTCTGAACTATTTCACAGGGTGACGCAAAAGTGAATTAAACCTGACTTACCAATATTCTCAGCACGACACTGCAGAATTTCAATGCGGGGTAAAACTCTTTGGAACTGCTGTATCATTGTACCTGTGGGATCACTCGCGATTATTTGAGTCCCGGTGCCTCTTAAGATTTCAAACATAACTCGAGTGAACTTGCCTGTGCCGGATCCTAATTCAAGAACAGTAAGCGGAAGATTTCTGGTAAAGGTATAATTTTCAATCTTGTCGTGTTCTAGAATTCCGAGTTTTTTCAACAGGAACCTTACAGTTTCCAATGGGTAGGTGGGTCTAATTTGTTCATAGCTCGCCGAAGCTTCAAACGCCACAGCCGCCAAGGTTGTTCCACTTATTCCTTGTCCCTCCATGTGGGGGATTAGGTCACTGTCCTGAACAGTTAATAAAAATATAAGTATATATATAGCATCGTACTTTACCGCCACGCTTACTATGCAAATTTGTAAAATATAGAAACGATAGTACGAATATTCTTAACAATAAAATCCCCTGATGAGTGAGTAATCACGAAACAGGCTTGTAGGGATGAAAGTATAGTCTCTCTGTTTTTTCCCCTATCACAACATATATCGCGCTCTGCTCCTACTCCTACGTATCGAGCACTGTAAAACAGAAAAATCATTACACAGACTCCCTATAAATATATAAAATAAAAAAAATTAGATGGATAAAAGTCGGCGTTACTGAATCGTAAATTTATGGTGGACATCTATGATAAGATGTGAAAGTTTTCAAAGCCATAGCGCAATTAAAACCTCCCGCAGCTCCCATCAGACGATGTTTGAAAAATTGAATATGTAGCACACGTTTGCCGATGTATGAGGGATACCCAAAAAACATGTTTTACCTGTTTTGGTATCATTTCATTTCCCTTTATCTTATACGTGTATGAACGGTAGCACATAAACATCTACCAGGCCGACCGCGATTTTGTCAAGACTCACACTTTTTGTGCGATTTCATTCAAAATTTCTTTTCCTTTGAACGCATTAACACCTTGACACTTAGAACATCTCTTTAGTTACTCTTAATCACGCGAAGTTCGCGTGCAAGACATTTAACATCCTTGTTCATAAAACAAAATAGGAGACAGACACAAACACACAATCGTGTTTCGAGTAATGTTGACTGGTTCTAATGGTTACAATCAACTTACCAATATTATCTGTTAGATGCAGTAGAATCCAGAGCTAAGGAAAATTTTGTGGATCTATCCTGTATCCATGGCATTTCTCGGTTTAAAAGAACACTGCAATTCAATTTCAATTTGTATTTTGTGTTTAAAAGGATATAATTGCTTTATTGTGCGGGTTAATTGCTTTTAGCCTGTGTTTAGTTTTAATAACGACCGCCTCGCTATGATTTAAAATCAGTGGGATTTGCATATCACTCAAAGATAACTCGTAGGCCTCTGTTGCGTCATGACAAGCCATGAAAGGTCGTTTCTGGTCAGGGTACAGCTTCGTGTTTCACCTTGCTTTTTTCCTCTTCCTTTCATGTCACATTAAAATATTTTATGCTCAAACATAACAAAACACTCACAAGAAAACATAATATTGTTATTCTAAAGTTTTTTTTGCCATCCCCCTTTTTTCCTAACACCATGAGGCATCTTCGTTTTTTTTAAGGATACCAACTGATTTCGTTGAATTGATGCTAATCAAGGGGTACTAGTACTTTCTTTTGGTGCAAAACCAATTTTATAACCTCTACAGAAACTGTTAATAAAAATCGACATTTAGCAGCCTGACAAAGCTTGCACAAAAAGTAAATAATTATAAAATTTTGCCCAGTAAGCTATGTTAAACGATCATCAGTCATTTAACAATTGGTTCATACGTCAGCGTGCGTTCATCAAGATATGAAGCACGCGGGAAGTTTCGAGAGCACGAAAGATGCATAACAGTTGCTCGAGGCGTAGCCGAGAGCAACTCTAGCTTGTTGAGTGCTCTCCAAACCTCCCAAGTGCTTCATATCTCGATGAACGCATAGATGACGTATGAACAATTGTTTTATAACATTTTCAACCCGATGGAAATTTTTTTTCTCGAGGGATTTGTTTGCTGAGCGTGCACAACAAGAATATGAAGCACGCTCGCGCAATTGAATTTGAGTGGACAAATTTACAAGCTATGTTATAAATTGCATTGTGACATAGCTAGTAAATTTGTCTAATGAAATTAAATTGCGTAAGCGTGCTTCATATTTCTATTTTGCACGCTCATGACATCAGCAAAAAAATCCCTTGAGCAAAAAAAATATTTTCTTAGCGATTTTTTACTTTGGGATTTTACTATTAAAAAACTGGTTAAGATTTCGGCGGCAATTTAAGCTAAACATGGAAAGTTGCGAGCCAGCTTTTATACCATAAAAGTATATTTGAAATATTCTTTGGTGGAACCTTGCGATGCTTTCCTAGATTTGTGTCCAACTTTCTGTCACACGAAGCTAGGATGTGGCCTGTTGTAAAGTAGCCAATGAAACAGCATCTTTGTGTTTCTTTTGGATAAGAGAATTTTGTATTCAATCAGAAAATAAAGTTCATTTACACGTATGAATTCACCTGTCAGTTTTTTGACCAATCTAAGACAAGATCGTTTACAACGTAGCGAAATGTTTTCCTGAAACAAAATTATCAACGTGCTGAAGTGCAGCAGAGAGAAAATTAGCCCTTTTATAACATTTAAACCATCGGGTTGCAAATGTTATAAAACAATTGGTTCATACGTCAATTGTGCGTTCATCGAGATATGAAGCACTCGGGAAGTTTGGAGAGCACTCAAGAAGCTATAGTTGCTCTTGGCTACGCCTCGAGAAACTCCTACGCATCTTTCGTGATCTCCAAACTTCCCAAGTGCTTCACATCTCGATCAACGCGCGCCGCCGTATGAACCAATTGTTTAGTAGCCAGGTAATATTCCCAAGTTACAGCACAGTACCCGTCTCATCCTTTCATAAGGTAGATATTGCTAAAAGTGTTATCGCTGTAGTATTATGATTGAGTTCTTGCTTGTAAATTTTCTTTCTCTAACTTTAGAAATCAGTGGATACCCTGAAGATTTAAGAGGGTAATCTGATGAGTCATTAAGGTAAAAGCAGAGTTATAAACCATAAATAAATGGCAACTAAACTCCACATCACCAAATAGCTACTCCTATTTCGACTGCTCTTCTTGCCGCTGATATGATTAGTTCCTTACATTTTATCACATTTTAGCTAATAACTTATATAGTTGGAATTCGGGAACACTTGTTTGTTCACGCTTGACCTTAGACGTTTTAAAAATATGTTATTAACATCATGGCTAAGTTGTGGAGCCTAAAAGTGTCAAATCACAAAGAACATAACTCAAAGAAAACAGTTTTATATTGCAAATTTGAGGAGATTAAAGCCAAGGTTGGCAAATATTATTTTTACTTCTAACAATTTTAACATTATTAGCTTTGAGATCAATCAAAGAAAGACATTTTCTTTGTCGGATAAAACACACTTTTTCAGTCTCCTTTACGAGGAAAAACTTGTGATATCTACGTTGCCAACGAAATGCTCTCAATGGAAAACGTGTCGAGAACCATTTTTTTCTTTTTATGCCGGTAGCGTAAACATTGTTCAAAATGAGAATAACAGCTTTGAAATGTAGAGTAAATACGAGTAGTTATAAAGCATCTGGTTGTCGGTTAAAGAAATCCAACTTTATTCTAAATAAATGACACAAATCGAGCAATTTCAATTCACATTCTGGATTTCAAAAGATATTTATCTCCACACATTCAGTGCCATCACCATTATGACTATTTTGGGGTTTAATATAATATTTCGGTTGCTTCGTTACAATCTGCCACCGATGGCATCTCATTTCAATTTTAAAATAGCGTATGGTGCTCTGTGGTAAATGTTTCATTTACAAAATGATAAACAGAAGAAGAAAGAAACTATGATGCTGAAAAAGGAAACCTCTGTTTCATAGTAGAGTGGTGAATGTAAGGAAGAAGTTGTCATTCCTCGTTTACCCTTTTTTGAAGCTATCTGGCTTAGATGACATTAGGGCTGCTTACTAAAGGCTTAGATCACATTGAGGCTGCTCACCCAAGGCTTAAATGACATTGGGCTGCTACTAAAACACACCTCCCGGGTAAATATTTTTCCAAATGTGAGTAGGTGTAAAGGACACTATACTGTTATGAAGTAAAGAGAGCCTCTCTTTTTCGTACAACATGCTTTTATCAAGGACTGTTAATCTATTTCAAGAGATTTTACTCCAAATATTTCCCATCGTATTGGACATAGACTCTATTTTAATGACAGGCCCGTTGCTTCTTTTATTTATTTTATTTTTAATTTATTTTTTTAAGCTGATATGACAATGTGAATCTAGCGATATCGTTTACAGGTAACCTCACTCATAGTGTTTTTCATGATCATCATGCCTTTTTTTTTTCTCTTTAAAATTATAAGAACACCGGCAAGGTTGTTTGGCAAATTCAAACAATTCATTATTTTATTCTTCACCTCCATATTAACAGATAAGCCTTAACTTCGCCAATCATATATTTTTTTACTGACTTTTGCCTTAAAACTGAAATTTTATTGTATAAACAATATTTTATGTCTCATTTTTATTCATAAAATCATAATTAATTTCTGCTTGTGGGTAAATAGACGTGTTTGAATATGAAATGATTAAGTTAGCAGAGTCAAAAAAAGCAAATTCGATTTAACTTTTTAATTTTTTTTGTGAAGCATTGTGCCATCCAATACTGAAACATTGAATAAAAAATAATACAGATTTAATCCTTATTTGCCTTAAATCTAATTGCTTTGTTATGCATGTCATTTGTTTTCTATGTGTTTGGTGTTATTAACGATTGCATCATAGAAATTTACTATCGATGGCACAATATCGATTTATTTTCGATGGATGACCCACAGACCTCTGTGGAGGCATGGCAGACCTAGAGAGGTCTTCCACGACCATAACATTGTTTTTAACCTGCATTACTTGCTAAAATCTTCATAGCATGTCATTGTTATTGTTCCCAGAACCTTGGGCTGAGTTCAAACTCTTTTCTTTTTAATTAAGACTCATGGTTATAAGGAAAGAATTTGACCGCTAGAAGGGTAATCTTTTTTTTTTTTTTTTTTTGGAGAGAATGATTCCATCCCATCTGTTCGAATAGCTGTTCACCAATTTCATGACCTTCACTATTTAACCTGAAAATTTTTTTTCAACAGTTAAATATTAATTGCTTGAAGTGTTTAAGCTATGTGATATAATTATCCCAGAGCGCAACACTCTCGCTCTGTGAGAGCAAATCGATATTCCGAAGACAGCACAAATAGGTAAATATTGCTAAAGTTTCGTAAAGAAATAATAAAAAAACTCGCTTAGCTTGACATTTTAAGGGTGAGGTCTCGGAGATCTACCAAAGTTTAAAGCCGGAAATTTCTAAGACCATCGGGAGGGAGCTAAGTAATAGAACATATCTGCAAGAAAGGTCTATTCTGCAAAATATTTCTATTACAGAGGTTCACTTTCGTGCAGCAACAATTGTCAAACTTAGAAGAAAAACAGTTAAGGAGAGGCGAATCTATTATTAAAATGTTCGGAAGGGTATCAGCCAGGATAGGCAAATTTATCAAGCACATCTATCGATGCTTTCCGTTTTGTTTTCGTTTTCAGATCCATTCGAAGTAAAAAAGGAAATCGGTAGCGTTACCTCATAATTCATTTAAGTAGCAACCTTGTTATTAAACTAGTAATCGATGTATCAGGCTGTGTCTTCTTGCTACTCTATACCTCATGTATCTAATGCTTCTCGTTGTCTTATTTAGCTATTAAAATTCAGGATGTTGGAAAAAGCTAGCTACAAAAGACTGTCAAGTGATGTGGATACCACAAGCTCTGTCCATCCTGCAACATCTGCAAGTTGGTTATCATTATTATCCTTTTGGTGGATGAACGGCATATTTAGAATGGGGAACGAGAGACCCTTGGCACACTCTGACATACTGCCTCTTCACGAAGAAGACAAGGCCAGAGATCTGACAGAGAGCCTTCAGAAGGAATGGAACAAACACGTAAATGAACTCAACAAGAATAAAGAATGTAAAGTACAACCCAGCCTCTGGAAGTGCATCGTCAGGACCACGTCTTTAAGGAAGATTTCCTTCCTGACATGTTTTGTGCTCTTGGAGTCAGTATGTCGTGTTTTACAGCCATTATTCCTCGGTTTGCTCCTTCATTTGCTCCGTTCCTCAGAGAGAGACTACTCTTTAGCCTATGGATGCTCTTTCCTGCTAGCATTAAGCGGCTTAGCTAACGCCTGTATTCACTATACTGGGTACCAGTTAGATCTTCTAGGAATGCGACTCAGCAGTGCTATTAAGGGTCTTATATACCTTAAGGTTAGTCATTTAGACAGCAAACGAAGCTTGTAATTAATCGGTAAGACATTAACCCATCTATTTATGCATTTCTTTGGTTATTGAGTCAGTCAATCAGTCGGTTAGTCGATTAGTCAATCGGTCAATCAGTTAAGCGGCAGATGTTTGTCCGTTTGTCTTCCTGTCTTTATCTCGATCCATCTCAACTTCTAACAAGAAGTGATCATCCTTTTCAGATACCGTTGGTCAGTAAACAGACGCTTCGAAAAGTGACAAGTGGAAACGTTATCGACTTAGTTTCAACTGACGTTGAAAGAATTGAATTGGCACCCAGATGGATATTCCTTTCAACCTTCACAATACTCGAAATCACAGCTGTGATTTCCTTATTGTTTTACCTCATCAGTTGGGAAGCAATAATGGGAGTTTTCTACCTTGTGGCGGTGATTCCATTTGTCATGATTATCTCATCCCTGTGTGCTCAGCTGCGGCAGGAAACAGCCACTGTGTCCGATCATCGCATATCAATGATGATTGAACTGATATCAGGCATTCGCGCACTTAAGGCTAACGCCTTGGAGAACAGCCATAAGGATAAGATTCAAGAAGTAAGAAGGTAGGTGAGGACATTCCGCGAAATTGCATTAAGACGCAAAAAGAATATAATGTAAAATAATAGCACTGTGAAAATTACAAATAAGTAATGATTGGTTTGGTATATTCCTCAAAGAAGGGAAGTTGTCCTTCCTTCTAAAAGAACAAGAATAAAGTTCGCTTATCATTAAAATACATGTACATCTGATCGACCTTCTGCCTTACTAATCGTCAGACTGACCAGTCATTCAACTGAGTAATGGAATTACCAAACCAAAAAACCACCAGATTTCATTTTCATGGCTTTGAATTTATTGTCATGAAAATAAGATTGATGCTCTAGTTTAGCTACCATGGTTTAGTAATGCGTTCACTTTCGATAACTGATTTACACTATGAGGTGCCAGTAGAAGAGAATTCCTGTTTATGTCCTTCAGGAAGGAGATCTGGATCATCCTAAAGAAGGGAGCTCTGTTATCAATTGTGGAATGTCTGCCGTTTACTGCAGGGGCTATAGCTACGTTTCTATCTGTCTTAGCTCTCAGCCTCGATGGCCATTTAATTTCACCTACCACGGCGTTTATGCTACTGGCTTTCATTAACACACTTCGAATTACCATCACACGATTCTCTTATGCTATTACCTCAGTGTTTGAGTTGTGGATATCTTTAAAAAGAATCAGAAACTTTCTTTTGCTGAAAAATATCCCTTCAATGGGCTTGGAATCCACTGAGAAGCCTCCTGGCCACCAAGATCGTGTTCAAGGACCTAAAAACAACTTCCCAGAGCTTTATGTTCGAGGCCCCTTAAAAGCAGAAGATAAGAGTGAAGAAATAAAATCCGAAAATCAAGACTTTGATAAATACTTTTCTGTTGAAAACGATACCATTCGTAACTATAGAACTGAATCTACTCAAACCTCTTCAGGAAAGTTATTAATTGAAGGTCTTTGGTGTAAAGTTGATGAACTGGATGGGCCATATATCCTCCACGATGTCAATTTTGAGATCCCGGAGAAGAGTCTAACAGTCGTTACTGGTGAGGTGGGGAGCGGAAAATCTACACTCCTAGCTGCCATTGCAAGAGAAGTCGTTGCATCCAGTGGGAACATAACCTACTCCGGAAATGTGGCTTATGTCTCTCAAACTGCCTGGGTGTTCTCTGGAACACTCCGAGAAAATGTTTTGTTTGGGAAGCCTTTCGATGAAACAAAATACAACAGGGTGATTCAAGCTTGCACGCTAACTAACGACATAGGAAGATTTCCAAATGGTGACCTCGTATTTGTTGGAGAACACGGTGTCGTGCTGAGTGGCGGCCAGAAGGCTCGCGTTAATTTGGCTCGTGCAGTATACGCCAATGCTGACTTATATTTACTCGATGATCCTTTGAGCGCGGTTGATTCTAAAGTTGGTGATCACATATTTTTTGAGTGCATTTGCAACTTGTTAAAGAATAAAACAAGAGTACTAGTGACATATACAGAAAGGTACCTTAGGATGGTTGACCAGGTTGTGGTTCTCAACAACGGATCCGTCTCAGGAAAAGGCACTTACAGCGAATTGAAAGAAAGGGGAGTAATTATTGATTCTATAATAGATGCTAGTAGTGCCATGGAAAAAAAGACCACCACTCCTAATAAAGAATCTAACTTACGTCATAACGCAAACCGAGGCCAATTCGATAAGCCTTTGCCTGTATCCCATGAAGATACAGCAACTGGGGATATCTCCTATTCATTATATTGGAATTATTTTAGAGCCGGGATGCATCCATTTTTCATGATTCTTTTACTTCTTCTTTTTCTTATGACGCAAGGTAAGAGAAATATACCAGGTAACTTCCCATGATAATTTTAACCTAGATCAAGAAAAATGATCACGTAGAAAAGAACACTGAACGATATTAGAAAAAGAAAAACAGCTATCATTAACGATAAGTGGATTTTGGTGATGATCTTGTTTATGATGATGATAATAAATCCTTTTTTGATTAGCAACTTTACGAGAATTTAAACTAGCAAGCAAATCAAGTGGTTCTGCGCACTACTTATGCCATCTTTGATGTCTCCATCACGCGTGAAGCTTAGTAATACATATTCTTTGAGTGATTTGAAACTTTTCCAGATCACCTGGAGTATACATGCATACTTAAACGCTCATAGCTTTCACGTAAATAACGCCATTTGTCCACAACTCTGAATAAATGACATTTCTATAGTAAGTCGTCATCATTTTTGTTCTAGAAGGCGAATAATTTTTTTTTAATTCATTTATTAGCTCTTCTTGTTTTACCCGACGTCTGGCTTTCTTGGTTCACTACTATTCAACCTGCATCGGAACAACAGTCATTCTCAGCACTGAGTACTTACGCTGCTCTAGTGTTCGGTGCTTTCGCTATGGCCATGATCCGTGCCGTCATATTCTTCAGTGTCTCCCTCAGATCATCTCAAAACTTGCACAGCCGGCTCGTTACCTGTTTGCTGAAAGCCCCAGTGTTATTTTTCGACACTAATCCTGCGGGACGCATATTAAACAGATGTTCCAAAGACATTGGTTGCATGGACGAGTTACTTCCCAGGACGTTTCTATCAGCCATCCAGTATTTTTTGTTTATATCCACAGCCATGCTGCTACCCTTGTTTACGAATATTTGGCTCTCCATTGTTTCGTTTTCAGCCGTGGTCATTTTTCTGTGCTTAACGTGGTATTACTTGAAGACTTCCCGTGAGCTCAAGAGGCTCGAGGCTATTTGTCGAAGTCCCGTATTATCGCACTTTTCAGAAACCATGATCGGCTTAGATACAATTCGCAGTCGAAAAAGAGAAAACGATTTCATCGGAGAGTTTTATAGGTGAGTATGATTGCATGAAGCAATTAAATTTGATGCTTTATAGCTACAGCTGATGACGGAAACTGAGTCCTTAAGCTGGAGAATAGGTATCATCGATCGCCTGCGAAAAGGAATATCCAAAACAAGAACCGGTTAATACGGTTCCCAGGAACCAAGAAGACTTTCCAAACTTATGAAAAGTTCTCATTCGCTTACAGAGTGTTCAATGTTTATTTAATTCTGACTCTGGAGAGTTTTACAGAATAAAAAATCTCTGAAAGCTTTCACTTCTCACGATTTTCTTTCACGCATCGTCGGTGGCGTTTTCTCGTAACTTTTAGCACCACTCGGAGATTTTCTACCTGAAACCGTGAATAAAGGAATATCGCTCATATTATCATAGCTTCATCGTGCTACGGATTTAAATTTTCCTTTGTACATAACTGAGCCCTGAACCGTATCATGATAGCAAATGCGAAAATGCAGGGAGCTAACGGTGAAGCTTTATAAACGTCCATAAATGTCATAGAGTAACAATATTTACTCATAATTTAACATAATTACTCTTGTCTCATTTTGTTGTTTTTCTAGTTTGCTTATCTGTTTGCTTCTATAACTTACAGGCATCAAGATTTACACAATCGCGCGTTTTCCATGGTGGTAGCCGGTAATCGGTGGCTTGGTTTCCGTGCTGACGTACTTTGTGCAGTATTAACAACTGCAGTGGCTTTTGCTTCTGTTTTAGCTTCTCAAAACCCAGGTATCAATCACGAAAATTCTACAGAACTGATAATACTGACAAAGTTTATCTATTAATTTAGCTATCTATAAACATGATCATTATTATTATTATTGTTTTGATCCATTAATCTTTCTATTTATCTCAGCTTTGGCTGGTCTGGCGCTTGCCTATGTTATTGACACGGCAAAAATCTCCCAAATGGCTGTTAGACAATATGCTGATGCTGAGAACCTTATGACGTCTGTGGAGCGAGTCCTGGAGTACACGCGCCTCGACTCAGAACCTGGATACACCATCAAAACACTTCCTCCAAAACACTGGCCATGTGATGGTCATGTCAGTTTTAAAAATGTTTACATGAGGTACTATCCAGGCGGACCGGTAGTACTAAAAAATTTAACTTTTGAAATCCAGCCTAGGAACAAGTTGGGAATCGTAGGTCGGACGGGAGACGGGAAGTCGTCCTTTATATCAGCTCTCCTACGCATGCCTGAGGCCGAAGGGGAGATATTCATCGATGGTGTATGCATAACAGGTGTTCAACTTCAGGAATCGCGGAAACGTATCTCTGTCCTCGGCCAATCCCCTGTTCTCTTCAGTGGATCGTTAAGGAAAAACTTGGATCCCTTAGAGGAGTACACAGATGATGAACTTTGGAGTGCTATCAAAGAGGTGAAACTCACCAGTTTGGTCGAAAATCTAGACGGTCAACTTGATCACCAACTTTTTGAGGGAGGCGAAAACTTGAGTAGTGGTGAGCGACAATTAATATGCTTGGCTCGCACTTTGCTTAAGCGAAGTAAGATCGTTATTTTGGATGAGCCAACGGCGCACGTGGATCCAAATACAGAGAAAACCATCTGGTCAACTGTGCACGAGAAATTGAAAAACTCAACGGTCATTATTATTGCTCATCGTTTAGGCACTGTTAGTAACTGTGACGGTATCTTATTGTTAAGAGAAGGCCAGATTGCTGCTCAGGGCACCTTTGATGAACTCATTGGATCTCAGAAAGGGTTATGAATACAATCTTTATTTTCAATCGCAGTTATAATCCAACAAGGCCTTCAAAAGCCTTAAGTAACCTGACTGACCAACGCCAAAGTATTTAATGGAGAACAAAAATGGATTTAATGTTGATTTTTTTAAATTTATGTACCGTAATATGTATTCATATATTGTTGATTAACCTTTGGAAATCTATTACATTTTTCTTCCAATCATAGTTATATTGTTGTAGCCTGAGAAATGAAAGGAACGTTAGGTTGAAATCGAGGGAAAGTCTTTCATAGAACATGTAGGTAAAATTATCAAATGATGAAAATAAAAAGGGTCATGATATATTAACTATCTAGTCACTTCCGATATGTGGATCGAGCACTTGCAAGATAGAGGGACCATGGCACTACTAGCATCTATTATAGAATCAATAATTACTCCCCTTTCTTTCAATTCGCTGTAAGTGCCTTTTCCTGAGACGGATCCGTTGTTGAGAACCACAACCTGGTCAACCATCCTAAGGTACCTTTCTGTGTATGTCACTAGGACTCTTGTTTTATTCTTTAACAAGTTGCAAATGCACTCAAAAAATATGTGATCACCAACTTTAGAATCAACCGCGCTCAAAGGATCATCGAGTAAATATAAGTCAGCATTGGCGTATACTGCACGAGCCAAATTTATTATTCGACCGGTTTCGTCTGATCACACAGACCTCATCAGGAATTTAACAAGATGAACAAAATTGAACTGCTAATATACGGAGGTTTATAGTACAAATCATGTTTAAATTTGGTGTAAACAGCTAAAAACACCCAAAAACAGCAAATGTTACGCAAACAAATTAAGAAATGTTTTTTTATTATTATTATTTTATTTTTTTTTTTTTTTGAAAAAAATTTTTGAAACAACTTTTTTTAAAGTGAACTTTTTTTTAAAATGAAAACTAGAGAGCAACACAGCCTGCTTTAGTTATTTTGGGGGTTCACGTTAAATCGTGAGCCCCAAATGCCAAATTTTGAAACGGTTATCAGTTTACATCATCAACTTAGTTGACAAAGCCAAATGATCTCGTTATACTCCTCACAGACGCAGCACCGCAATTTTTCTAGAAACTCAGCACCTTTATTCACCTGTTATCATTATCGCTTATCGTTTAAACACTGTCAAAAATTGCGACGGTATTTTATTGTTAAACGAGGGCCAGAGTAGTGCTACATAAACCTTTGAGTGATGCTCCATAAACCGATGAGTGATGCACTTACACAAAAAGATGCCGATTAATACGATCTTTATTTTCAGGCGCCGCTTTATCCTACCTTATTCCTTGGAGTGAAGAACTTGTATAACAATTATGATCAGGGCTTAAATTCAACCATGATGAAAATCACTATCGTATCGATACACGTATCGACTGAGGATTTCTTATCTTATTTTGCGATCTGGTATCACAATATTTAGTCATATATGACTTTAGTGGTTTTTGGAAAATTGGTATTATTTTCTTTTATTCATGTTGTATTATGCAGTTGTTGTTTGACAGATGAACGCCACTAAAGGTTGAAACCGCAAGAAAGTTGTGATAGAGCATGCTACTAAACGTTTTGGAAAAGATGAAAAAATTCGAATCATTTATGTCAGAATTTAGTCAATTGCGATGTGAATTGTATAGCTTGCGGTTTGCAGAAGATGAATACATAGTTAAATAAAATAAAATAAAAAAGAGAGAACAAGGATGTCAACTGAACCCCCAAAATTTTATAAAACGCTTTTAAAGCTACAGTTTCAGCTATGACTTTAAAGCAGTTCTTAATCTTGCGTGATTCGTGGTCCAGTCTAATCATTTTCGCCAAACCTGAAATAGAGAAAAGAAAAGAAAGAAAGTGGAGAGTCATCCCAAGTTTTCTATAGGCTTCTTGATATTCTTAAATTCGATAATATTGTTAAACTGAGTACGTGCCTACTCGCACATAAGATATTGAACAAGTATTCCAGTATTCCTTTCCTGTTTTATGATTCATTCAGAACAGTTTCTAGCCTGCACAAGTATAACGCCAGATACGCCTCCAAGGGTGTTTTCATCGACCAAAAGTAAGATTCAACACAGTCAAATTTACCTTTGTATATATAGCCTCTAAATCATGGGAAACGGTACCAACAAACTGGAAACGGCTCTCTATTAATGATTTTAAAAAGCGTTATAAAAATCATGCCCTCAAATATCAGTCACAGTTCTGAATTCCCGACTAAAAGTCACTTTGTATTCATATCTATGTAAGTAATCTTAATGTAATATCGCCATTTCGTTTTCATAACACTTCTTGCCTTGTTAAGTAGTTTAATTATTATTCCTGCGTTCCTTTCTTTACTTTTAAATAAACAGCAGCCAACTGGAAAGCTTTGCTACGTTGGTTGTTGCATACTGATTCAAAAATTGTACATATAGTTATATAATCTCTATCAATTTCTTTTTTCTGTAGTTTCCTTTTTTTTTTCTTTTTTTCTCCTTGTACCTGAATCGTGTGAATTAAAATATTGTCATTGTTGTCATCGTCATTGGCATTAAAAGTTCTGGACGGATATAAAGCTTCACGCTCAGCTACCTGCATTCTCCCAATTGCTATCATGGTACGGTTCTTGGCTCAGTTTATGTACAAAGGAAACTTTAATTCCGCAGCACAGTGGAGGTGTGATAACATGGGCGATATGCCTTTATTGACTGTTCTTTGTAGAAAATCTCGGAGTGGTGCTGCGAAGTGAAAGTTTCGAGAAAATACTACTACCAATCCAATGACAGAAAATCGTGAGAAATGAAAGTTTTCAGTTCTGAGATTTTATAATCAGAAAAATTCCCCAGAGTCAGACTTAAGTAAATATTGAACACTCTCAAAGTGAATGACAACTTAATGGATAATTTTGGAAAATCTTGTCGGTTCCTGGAAACCGTACTGACCGGTACTTTATTTGGATATTCCTTTTCGTCGGTGATCGATGATAACTACTCTCCAGCTAGACCACTTGGTTTCCGTCATTAATTGTAGACCTGGCTCCTTAACATCATCTTAGTCAGAAAAGTTAAAACTTCCTTTTGTGTATGTATAAAGAAAGATTTCCATGCTCGTCTGATAATTTTCATTGTTGATATTCTAACACAGCAGTGTTAAACAGAAATATCGTTCCATGCATTCAATATAGACCTAAGTACTAATCTAGTATTAGATCTAACTTTACGCACTTGGTTCCCACTAATTTGTTTGCTCCTTACGTTGTTGTCAAGCATTAAAACTCATTCAGTAGCTCTTTTAGACGTTGCTCTTTAAACGATTCTCTTATTAAAACTGAGTGACAACAGTTTTACTCTTTTTGATTGGGGAGGAGTTCAAATTTTGATGTTATGACTGCAATATCCAAGCAGCAGGTCATTTTCACCGAAGTACTATTCGGTGAAGCTTTGTAATTAAAACTACTCAGGACATGAAATCAAAAATATTAGACGAGAAAATTGCTGAACTTTATAACATCAATTTGACATATTGAATTCTAAATACAATTTTCAGAATTATGAAAGTTCAATTTTGTCTGATATTTTGATAATGGTACCCCAAAAAAGCTTCCTCTCCGATCAAAACTCTATAATTTATGTGATTATTTTACTTATTAAGACTCCCGTATAATAGTCTTTTTCCGTAGAATCGTTTTTGTTTCTCCTGTTGACTGTTAGCCATTCGCCCTGACTACATGCTCAACCCTAAGAAAAGAGCTGGGTAATTGCAATATTTAGTAGAAGGTCATTTCATCGAGATCCTAATCAGTGAGACCCTATTATCAAATTTACGCAGGAATAAAATATTAGAAATATCGGACGAGAAAATTGCCCAACCGTATAGCATCAAATCGGCGTATTCGTAACTCTAAATATAACTGTCCTTTATTTAGAAGTTCGATTTTTGGCTGACATTTCAAAATAGTCAAAACGAAAGCAGGGATATTTTGTATCACAACTTTTTTATTCCGATCTCCAAGGCTTCTTCTCTTCTAGTGTTGTTCCGTAAAATTGTTCTTGATGCAGTTTAATGTCTACCGTGCGCACTAACTTCAAGTTCAACCTCTCTATTTTTAGCCTTAGACTATTAAGAGTGCTTGAAGAAACATATTCTCGAAACCTCCATGCCTTTGTCTTGTCATCTATTGCATCGTAAAATACTACTTTTATTTACCTATTTTTGATCCTCTCCTAGTTAATTTCATGCAAAGTATGCAATGTTACGTATTGAGTTTTGGCTCTACAATATTGGCATCTCTGTGAAACCCATAAATGGAACGATGAGGGTATCACCAGAGCCATTGTCTGCCCGGAGTTAAACGGCTTCAGCCATGCAGATTAAACTTTTGTTGATCACCTGTTTCCTTCTTGGAGCCTGTACAGCCTCTAACCTGGCAGAAAAGCGGGAAGGTATTGGATCAAAATTATGAGAGCATGATTATTTTTCTCAGACCATTCCTTTTTCCACCCATTCAATGGTGTACCTTTACTAAGAACTCTTTTTTCCTTACCCAGATGCTCCTCTGAGTGAGGATACAGGTCAGTTTAAGAAGCTACTTAGTTACTTTTTGAAGCATGATAAAAAATATTTTTACCAGAAAAGATAAGAATACCTATAAGAATTATCTTCAATACAGTTCTTACGAACGTGGATAAGAAAGCAACTCTGAGTCCCTTAGTACCGAGATTCTCTCCACTAAATTACCGGTCTGGTTGCATACAAATGAAAACCAGCGTATTCTACTTTGATTTTCACCTTTAATCTTTTTTTTTTTTTTTTGCCTTCTCTTTTCTTCCTAAATAGCCCAAGAAGTTGAAGATCTGAATGAAGAAGACTTCGAGACTGCCTCTGATAAATTTGACGGAGAGAATGATGAGGAACCGGAGAATGAAAATGAAGCATTTGACGAGTTAAGAGATGAAGAAAACGAAAGGGATGCAGAGGAATTAGAAGAAATGAACGATGAAGACGAAGAGACAGGTAAGAGTTGATCAGTAAATTTAGTTAACAAGAAAACCGAGTTCTGTCTCCGCTTCGGAGATGAGATCCAAGTTATAATGTCAATGGGGAAAGTTTGGAATATTTCTAACCATTGGGAAGAAACTCGTGAAAGAACTGTTTAGGAGTCCTGGTAATATTCCGCATTAACCAAGATTTTTTAAAGCAGGTTTTCGTTGAGAACAATTGAAAGTTGGTATTAAATTCATCACGGGAAGGAAAAAAAGTTCAACTCTCGCAAGGTTTTTATTTCAATCGCAAACAAGAATCAAGGAAAAGAATACTGCTCGCTACACTGAT